ACATTGTTCTCCCCCCCCCCCCCCCCCCCCCCCCCAGAATCGACTTGCCGCTTGAAACTCTCAGGAATGAATGGTCCTAGTGAGAAACACTTACGGAAAATTTTCAGCTATGCTTACCTTACTAAACGAGACTTGTGGCATATTTTATAGCTTCCACGAGAATTGATAGAATTGTCTGACTATGAGAGCTTTCGAGGTCGGGTCGGTTTTAAATTAAAGCTAGCCTCCATACGTAACTTTTCATCGGACAGAATTTCGGAATTCCCTTCTGTTCATGTTGTATAAGCATTTTACTCGGTATGACTGCCAAAGTAGGTATAAAAAACGCACTAAATCAGACTTTTCTCAGTTCAGGAATCCAATATCGAAAATCCATCAGATGAAAAGTTAGCTCTAATTGCGATCTTTAAAATAAAAATAAAATATGGAGGAAAGCTAAAACCAAACGGAAGTTTTAGAAGTGAATTTTTCATTCAAACCTTTACAAACTACTTTTTAAACGGAATATTTCCAACAAATTGCATTACGATTTTTCAAAGTTGATCACAAATGGAGTCAACTAGCGCCATCTACCACCATGAAGTGGTATTGCTCTCTTATTTCTCCAGTAAGATGTGTCTTTTTACACTGCTGTACATGATTGATATGTTGATAATCGATCTTGAGGTAAATTTTAAATGTTTTTGATAACAATTAGTAACAAGACACAGTGGGTTATATCTGACGGATCTCATACTCTTTCGTTGACATAGAATTATAAATTCTTGATTTTTAGATTTATTTCTAATAAAGATCAGTCAACTAGCAACGAGCAATTCACGTATAAAGCACGTACATTTTCTGGTTCATCGTGTCAGCAACTAACAAATTTTCTTAAACGAAAAGGTACAAATGATAATAATAATATACACGATTATTATCAAATAATTCACAACTCATTTTTGTTGCAACTGATGAAACAGACAGTTTGTGCCTCGTGCTAGTTAATATGGAATGATGATATGTCTATTGCGAAACGCGAAGGTACATCTTGTATTAATTTCTCTCTAGCAAAACTGAACAATTTTTCTATGGAACAGTTGTTTTTATATATTTTTTTATTTGCTGGTTCATGAATGATTATGTTTCATTTTTTTCAGATATTTTCTATTATTTTAACAAAAGAATAAAATTTCTTTTCTGAAGAACTTGTTTTTGTTCTCTATACGATTTCCAGATAAGATGAATAATTTTAATATTTGCTACAATGCATTCTGTCGTGCATTTGATAAAGTAAATGTGATAGTACCACCTGGTCTAGTCGAAATCCTGAAGTCTCATAATTCAATGTATTCATCTGTGATTCACATGGATACAAATGATGCTCAAGCTGAATGCAGTACTTAAACAAGTAGCGAAGATTCTATTGGGGATGAATCTGACAGCTCAGATAACACCGATTCGAGCAATATAAATCAAGCAAAACCAAAGAGACGTAAAAACGACGAGACTACTGAGTAGGTAGATCTGATCTACCAATGTTTCTATGAAAACTCTAAACCCTAGAAAAGAGGATATTGATTGAATTTTTCCGACTTTCTTGAAGTAATAATTT